GGGCTATAGTGAATTTTCGGGTGGGTGCAGCCCCCCGTAGCCCCACTCCCAGCGCTGCCACAGTGTGGCCCAAGCCTCTGATGGAAATGGCCCAGCTAGGAGCCTCTCTCTCACAGTTTGGGGGACATGTGTCCCCTCTGTGCCCTCCTAGGGTGAGTATCTCCCCCCCCCCCTTCCAGTGCCCCGCAGATGAACCTCTCATGACTCTGTCCCACCCCGGCTGTGCAGGGCCTGCCCCTGCTCCAGCCCTGCTCCCTGCTGTCAGGTGGGGCAGGGAGGGGAGACAGATCGAAGCCCCAGCAATGAGAGAAGGAGTGAGGCTAGGGCTTGGGCTTCAGTCTTTCCTGCCCCTTTCCCCACAGACTTACCTGCTGGCTGGGTACATCCCCAAATAATTTTTTCTCCCTCTGCCTTGATTTGCCCCTCTCTTCCCTCCCCACAGACTTACCTGCTTGGGGGTGAGGGTTAGCTTTTGAGTTCCTTTTAAATTCCAAAAGTGATCTCTGTCTTAAAAAAGTTGGAGACCAGTGCTTTACAATGTAGTCATTGGGCATTTCAACATTGCACTCAGCTGTAATTACTAGAAAATAATTGTTCAATAGAACCTGAGCCTCTACTGAGCCACACACAGTTGTATATATGGGCTGTGTGTGTTTAGACCTCCTGCATGCTTACTAGGGCAGAAGTGAGTGCACTCTGCAACAACAAAATCTAATGTGAGTTTTCTAGCAATGTATTGTCATATGGCTGGTCAGTTGTCCTGTGACTGTTCCAGTTAATTAGATAATGAGAGAAAAGGCTGGCAGCTGATGGAATTACACAACAAGCAGAACACCTAGCAGTAAATACAGGTACTGAAAGCCTTACTATAATTAAGAACAGTAATGACAGTGATTACTATTTGTAGCATGGTCTCTGTGAAACCGTCCGAGCTCTTGTTCCACCATGTTAAGTCTTCCAAGGAGTCTCTTAAAGTAGCCTGCTTGTTAGTTTTGTGCTTGATGCTGTACAAAACAGAATCCATGTATCAAAGAGCTTGCAGTGTGATAGACTCAGCCAGGCTGAACTGGGTCGAGCCAAGGAGTGAGTATCTTGGAGGCCTTTTTATACTATCATTGTTTCAGTCCTTAGGAGCAGGCATTATAAAAGGAGGCATATTTTAAGAGGGCTCTAAATGCACTGAGGAAGGAAGTTTAAATGAACATCTCCAATGGTCTCCTGCAGATAGGTTCAAGCTAGCTTATGTAGGCATTAACAGCAAAACAGTTATTTAAAGTACATTATCACATTAATTTTCATTGGTTGCCTACCAGCTTCCACCATTAAAAGCCAAAGTATAACTAAGATGTTCCACAGTAGGCATGAGTTGTTGGGGTTTTTGGGGGGTTTTTTAGTTTTTCCAAAATTATGGTCTATAATGCTGTTCTGTATTTACAGGGTTTGAATTTTGCCATCTGTTAAATAAGCGGTAATAATATTGCTGTAATAATATAATAATAAGCTAGAATTTGTCAATATTTTTAAGATTTTACTTATAAAGACATGCAGGCTTTACCAAGAACTATTCTTATTTGTAGGTACTGAAGCTGCTTGCTGAAATGAGTTCATTTTGTGGTGACATGGAAAAGCTAGAATCAAACTTAAAGAAGCTCTTTGATAAATTACTGGTGAGACAGTTTTATTTGTTGTGATATAATAAAAATGTTTCCTCAGTGTGAGTGATCGTTAGGAGCTTATTGCCCATTTATCTGTGGTCCTTCTGTGTTGTTAAGTTAATGACTGTTTTGAAGACACTCCTATTTATGACATGAGCA